TTGAACGGAGATCTGGCCAAGCTATCTGTCTACCTGGAAGAGAAGCGCATGACGCTGAACCCAGCAAAGACGAAGTTCCTCCTCCTTCACAGAAAGACATAAGCAGTGCCTGGTTCCGCCAGTGTCGTCATTGACGGCGTCCATGTTCTTCGAGCGCAGTCCGCACGCTATCTTGGCATTGTCATTGACGAGCACCTGACTTTTGGGCCACAAATTGACGGTTTGATTGGGTCTGTCAACAGGAAACTCGGCGCCTACCGCATGTTAAGACATCTCTTGCCATTCCACGCACGGCGTAGCTTTTACCTTAGTGTTATTCAGTCGTCATTGGAGTATGCAAGTAGCGCATACGTCCACACCCTCAGTTCTTACTATTTTGATAAGTATGTCCGGCTATTTAACAGGTGTCTAAGAATAGTTTTTGGTTTCGATAACTTTACCAGTGCCTCTCATATTCTTAGCCTATACAATCTCTCTCACATTTCTGTCCGAGTCAATTTGAAGCTTTTTATTCTTGTATTTCGCTCTGTCCATAGCGGCACATGTAGCTCCCTCCTAAAAGAAATTTTCCATGCCCGCTCCTCCAGTGCACATACTACTGCCGTCACTAGGTCTCAAATCTCTTTTTCTCTGGCCTTGCCTTCTGCCCACACTAAAGCTGGTTTTTCTCGTCTTGGCTACATAGGTTCTGATCGGTGGAATATGCTGCCTTCCACTGTTCGCTCTTGTACAGATTATCGCCCATTTGTTCGTTCATGCTTAACCTTTCTAGGGGCTCCCGTAAGAAGACCATAGGTCTGTGGGAAACGCCCTAGTAAAATAAATAAAATAATAATAATAATAATAATTGGTTGTGAGCAACACTGGCTCACACTCAAATAACTGCTTTTCACCAGAAAAATACTATATTTCAACGTTTCGGTCATGAAATAACCATCATCAGGAATTCCTGATGATGGTTATTTCATGACCGAAACGTTGAAATATAGTATTTTTCTGGTGAAAAGCAGTTATTTGAGTGTGAGCCAGTGTTGCTCACAACCAATTTTTTACTTATGAAGCTGCGTGATGCGTCCTACAAGATTTTAAATAATAATAATAATAATGTAATTGTGTAACCAATGGAATGCCCTAATGATGGCCTACATGTAGCGCCTCTGCATGTTATTATTATTATTTTATTTATTTTCCTAGGGTGTTTCCCACAGACCTATGTTCTTCTTACGGGAGCCCCTATGTGTATCATATCAAATTCAATACCGTATTATACGCATTGATGTGCAAGCCTTTTCTTGCAGAAAATGGAACTACATGTAGTCTTGCATACATGTATTCATGTTCTTCTGCAGGGGAATCATATGGGTAGTGGCGGTGATACTTTTTTTATACGCAAGTCATTCTGTGGATGTTGCAGAATTTCATGACTGTCATAAAATTGTCTTGTCTTTCAGAAAATTCAGATGTCCACACCCTAAATCACATTAAATTTTTACTTGAGAATTGTAACAAGGTGTGTGCCGCAGATGTTTTTGTTGATTCTGTGTTTATAATTGTAGTCATGGGTTGTCGTGATAAGGTCATCCGGCATCATATTGTAGTGAAATCGTAATCCTGTTGATGTCGATAAAACTTTTGGAAGCAGTTCAGTGACTTCAAAGTGTCCACGATTGTCTAAAACAACACAGCAAAGTAGGAACAATAAACATGCATTAAAATGTAAACAAATACATCGCTGAGTCCGACACCTCGTTCCAACAACTACACTGATCCTGAGGATATAAGGGGCAAGGATATATTATGGTTTTAGGTACTGAGAGATAAACAAGGCACTCCATAATAGTAAAATGTTACACGACTTCGGGGGGAGTATGAATGATATCCAGTCAAACCTCTTTAGGACGAACATCAAGGGACCAATGGCATTTGCTCTGTGAGTTTGTGTTAACCCTATTTTATAACGAGTGAATACAATTTTTTCTCCAATAGAGACACGAATAGATTTCTTCTACAGCGAAAGATTCTAAGCCAGACCAAACCATTAACTCGTCTTTTATGAAACAAATGAGTCACTGAACCTTTCTTTAGCAACATGACGGCAACTGAAACAACAACAGAGAAAATACGATACATGTATAGCACATTCTTCCAGGTACTACAAACAGATTGCAGATCGTAATTCTTGCTCAACCGGCACGCAACTTTATTTGGGGCAGTGCAATCTCGGCGCTACTCACAAATCAAACAGCCCAGACTCGAGTAAACAAATCCAATCGTACGAGATTTTCACGAGACGAGACTGCACCCATTGGCTTGTTTCGTATGAAGCAAACAAGTCACTGAATGCATGAACCTCCCCATGCATAATGGAGATTTTCCCTGATATGCGAATTTATTTTGCATACTAGTACTCGGCCAATGCGTCTTTGAACCTTTCCTTCCAGATTGGGAACTGCCAACGATGCTATGCCACTGCAAAATTCAGATTCTACCCTATGATCGGAGCACGGAATGCCGGAAGCAATCATGACCAGTGCCTTACTTGTAACGTACCAATGTACAATGAACATGAGTATTTCGACAACACATCTATTTAAAGCCTCAGCAGCAACATAAGCCTTACCGTCAAGAAGGTGAACTCGCGTTCTTCGCACACTGTTGGCAAGGGCAAAGAGAAACGAATGGATCTAAATCCGAATAAAATCAGCACACGTTTCGTAAATGAAAGGGTGAGCATAAGCAAATGAATCGAAGGAAGCTGGTCAACTCAGAGATCACCTGTCATTGAGTATTCCGTAAAAGGAGGCCTCGACAGCAGAAAAGCTAAATTTAGAAAAGAGATCCTGTCAGCTTTTCCATTATTAATTTTATTGTATTCCACCTAAAATCAGCACACTTTTCGTAAATGAAAGAGTCAACACAAGCAAATGAATCAAAGGGAACTGGTCAACTCACCTGTCATTGAGTAATATTCCGTGAAAAGAGGTCTGAGCAGAGCCGAAGCGAAATAAGCCAGGACACGAAATATCCGAAACAGCTCATGCAAGATGTTGTGTATAGACTATCTGTTGTGTTTCATTGGTCTGTGTGGCCGAGTGACTCCCGCTTCTCATTCATGATGTTTGGCCTGTTCTCATCTCAAGTGTAGCTACCCCTGTGCTGTGCGGTTTTATTGATGATTGTAATATCATGCACGTGCCTGTTCGTGCCTAGCCTGCTCTTTTCAGTTTCCCGCCGTTGTAGGCAGCGCATGCGTAACAGCTGATTTACATTTTTGCTGTGATTTTTGGTAGGACAGGGTAGCTCTTGTGCTGGTTTTTTTTGGAACAAGAAGAAGTTTTTGTCTATGTTGAATATTTGTGCGCTCCTTTGATCTTGTGAGAGTTGGGTCATTTTGGGCCATGCACGCAATTCGAAACACAAGAAGCAGTTCCAAAGAAGGAAGTTCCTCGCGCATGCACATCCGAAAACGGACTGCACTGCATGCAACACAATGTCTGCTGTGCACGTGCACAGCACGCGGCTACCACGCGTTAGTAGATCTAATACCGAGCACCTTACGTAGAAACTTACGTAGCCTAAGTGAAGTACCGAGCACCTTACGTAGAAACTTACGTAGCATAGCGGTGTCGTTTTTTCTGCCATGTGAGCACAATAATAGAAAAGCTGACAGGATCGCTTTTCTAAATGTGGGGTTATGTACTCTTGGTTCCACTCATACCGTAGACCTATCTCTGATAGTTACGTGTAGCTGAATAATGCGTGAAAAATCTCAACTTCACGTCGTTACTTCATGACTGTATAATACCGACCGTACGCGTACACAAGAGAAGTGTTTGCGCACATGCGTGAACTGCACGCTCCATCATCATGTTCATCATGACTGTATCGACCGGACTAAAAAGGTTTTTTCCTACAAAATCCACATATCTCCAGACACCCGGGGCGGGCGAATAATGGAGTGTGGCCGTGGGGCCAGATCAGAGGCCTCGGCTTCATATCTCCATGGCCATAATCAGATAATGGACGCACCAAAGCCAAAGGAGATCGGGTAAAAACTGAAAAGGTCCGTAAAACTAAAAAAAGCCCGTCTACTTAGTATAGTCATTCGTAGTACTGACGTAACGCTTGTGCACTCTTGCTAGTACCGGTAAGTAGTAGTACTAGTAGTAGGAATTTCGCAAGCAGCAATGCAATGCTGGCAATGGAGAACATAGACAATAGAGATCATGCACACACGTCAAACGGTGTAGGTGAATCACGTGCAACATCTCGCACTCCAAGTCGACTACCAGGTAGTCTGCGTGCACACATCCAGCATCTACCTGGTCCCGGTGCCCGTGCTAGCTAGGTCCAGCCGGCGACTACCCGATCGATCGAGTGAGTCACCTTTGCGGCCTGGGTGAGTGAAAACCCCAGGATTCGCAAGGCTGCACGCACGGCGCAAAGGATATACAGCCATGTACATTGTACTTCACGCATGTACTTCACGCGCGCGATCCGACGTCATTTTAGCAGCTACAATGTATTGTTGTAGCTCTGCGCATCGACCAGGGAGTCGTCAAATACCAGTTTTTGACGCCTGACGTCTATCGACCCGTCCGATTCTCCAGCCTCTGAGTCAAGCGCAATGTCCAAGAAGCCGGCTTGACTGCGACTCACTACCTTAGCAGATGTTCGTATCCTACAAGACAGTGCAGTAGTGAGTTGACAAAAATGTCAAAGGGCTGTCAACAATGGTCAACCAACGACCACGTCGTCCTTGTGCGATAGTCAGGTTTACGACGGGAGTACGGCCCCCGGCGCCAAGAGCACATCACTGACTGGAGCGGAGAGGTCGGAACACCACGGAGAGGCGCGCGCACCGCGTACAGTCCTTGGCTTGGATCTACGGACAGGCAGTCCGTGCAGCACTTTGCGGACAAGCCAATGATAATAGTCAGCGAGTCTGAGAACGGCACAGATCATTCAGCTGACGGTTGCGGCACTGTGGACAGACAGTAAACATGGCTAGATAGTAGACTAGTATAAAGATCTACTGGCTGGAGTCCAGCCCTTCGTCTGTTCTAGATCAACTGGCTGTGTCAGTGAAAGAAATTTCTTACACCGAAAATTGTGTTATCGACTGAGTTATTCTTTGGCCTAGAGGTGGAAAGTCTTGCAGTTTGCTAAGTGGAGATGGTAGCGGTGCTTGCTGAGTGAGAGTCCACGCTACGTATGGTGCCATTGGTGGTGAGTACTTTGCCGCTGTGTTTCTGTGTGTGTGTGTGTGTGTGTGTGTGTGTGTGTGTGTGTGTGTGTGTGTACATTGAGTGTGTGTGTGTGTGTGTATGCGCGCGCGCGTGTGTGTGTGATATCTGGTGTATAATACGACAGCGTCTATACATGACGTCAATACATGACGTCAATACATGACGTCAATACATGACGTCCTCGGTTGTAAACACACATTGGCAACCGAACACTTGATCCAGCCATGGGCTGACCGTCCGGATCGGTTCCGCCATCGCTGTCTGTGTCTGTGTGTGTGTGTGTGCGCGCGCATGGGTGTGTACAATTTCACTTCGAAGTACCAGTGCATCTAGTCTCTGCTTCTATCAAAGCAATGTGCTGTATACTGGCTACCCCAGCAAGTGTAGGGTCTGCATAGTAACATGTAACTATCCTGGCCGTCCTATTCCGATGTGCTCTATGTGGTGTAGACCAGGTGTACATTGGTGGTCGATTCACATGGCTTCGTCAGTCGTGTGGGTTTGGGTTTGCTTGGTTCTCTTGTGACGGGCGTATACATGGTACATGGTACATGGTTGTGATTGTAGGGAGAGGATGTTGCCTTGCAAAGTAAAATAAAAATCAACAACAACAACAACAACAAGAACAACAAGAACAACAACAAGAACAACATGAACAACATGAACAACAACAACAACATGAGGGGATATGTACAATGTGTGTACATGTACTACGTGTAGTGTACCAGTACGCATACATGTAGAAGTGCAGTGGTGGGCAGTGGTGCAGTGGTGGGCAGTGGTGCAGTGGTGCAGTGGTGCAGTGGTGGGCAGTGGTGCAGTGGTGGGCAGAGAAATCCAACTTCATGAATAAAGTAGCGCCGCATTCCAGTGCATAGACCAGTATGTGTAGTGATAGGGCTGCGTAGCGCCCGGCGCTATTTTATTCATGAGGTTGGATTTCATTGGATTTCATTGGATTTCATTGGATTTCATTGGATTTCATTGGATTTCGTTGGATTTCATTGGATTTCTTTAGCCAGTACTGTACAAGCATGCAGTAAAGCACCGTCGGCGTGTCAGCGATGCATGAAAATTGTTGAAAATTATTAAAAGTAAGGTTGTACTCTAACCCGGTTACATCCCAGTACAAAAGTGACCACAGGGTACTGACTATGCAATGTGCTGTACTGAATGGAAGTGATGTCATCCGATTGTGTTCACCAAGCTTGTGAAGATGATACGAGGGACACGAGAGTACATGTGACTCATTCATTTATTGATATAGTGAAATAGAGTATGTCAGTGGTTGGGTAGATGCTGCTGTCGGATGATCGCTGAAATGTGTGAAACTTCAAGCTACAGGTACACCGCCTTTCACCTCTGCTGTGTGTGTGTATTGACCTTTGATAATTAATACCCACACTCATTAGTGACCACACCATCAACAGTATCAAATTCAAATAAATTTGCTTTGACTCAATAAAATACCGCTGCACTTTTCTATGCAGCACTGCACTTTTCCCTAAAAAAGAATTTTTCTAAACAGTATATATTGGCTTTTAATAGTGGTACTATATCAACAGTATTTACTGTTTATAAAATACCTATTTTTAGGGAAAGTGAAGGTCTACATATGTATAACAATTATTATTAATAAATGCAGTAGCCTCAGGATTAATTGCATTTGCATACCAGTTATAAAACCTTGGCTTCGCCTTGGTGTTATACTGTAGTCTAGCTTCTCTGGCATCCTCTCTGTTCTTCTTAAATTGCAATACTGCGACCGGTCAAGTCGTTGAGTGATGCTTTGTCAGAACAATCCTACCTGCGGTGAATTCGCCGTTGCGTTCTGACAGCGCGACATCGTGACACTGCAGAAATTTCATGATTTGAAAACCAGACTGATAGTTTATACGGCATTACCACATGGACAGTGAACTGCTACAAAGCCCTTAGCCGTCTCATTTATCCAATGAAAGGAAATCTTGACAGAAGTTTTTCTTTGATGCAAGATAATGACAATCCCTTTTGCAAAGCCTCCTGGTAAGACATACGCAGTTTGTAGGCATTACAGTCGTTCTCGTACACATTCAACCATTCATGGCGGTTTCGTACAACTTTATTGTCGTGAAAAGGACGAAAATAGTATGGACCCGCTAGGGTGGGCATTTGCTGCGTAGTTGGCGTTTGCAGTGGACTTTTTGGTGCTGCAAAGCACTCTAGTCTGTGTGTGCGTTCGTGCATGCGTACGTGTGTGTGTGTGCGCGTGCGTGTATGTGTGCGTACGTACATTCGTGTGTGTGTGTGTGTGTGCATTCGTGTGTGTGTGTGCATTCGTGTGTGTGTGCATTTGTGTGTATGTGTGTGTGTGTGTGTGTGTGTGTGTGTGTGCGTGTGTGTGTGTTTGTGTCAGGTTTGATAATGAATGGCCACTACTTTATTGAATCACATAGGCGAGAACAAAAAAAATAGAGATTCCGGGCCCTCTTGCACCAAAATCAAGCCAAAGCCAATTTTTTTCTTTCGAACAGTTCATATACATGTACAGTACTGATCGTGTGAGTAGATCTGCGACGTGGAATCACACAAACCCGGGCTTGTACGACTCCCTTATGTACAGATCAGGGCCATTGTTTGCCAAAATACAGAAAAAATGAACGGGTAAACCGCGTACCTGTTGTCTGTAGAAAAATTGAATAAAAGTTTTCGGCGGATAAAACTGTAAAAAAATTTCAGCATTGGCATCCATACAATCATACAATCATAATCATGTATGTAGGAAAAAAGTTGAAGTTTCAAAAAACTGTAAAAAAAAGTTCAGCATTGGCATGCATACAATCATACAATCATAAGGAAAATAAATAAAAAATTCGCCTGCCTGCACCAATTTCACATGGGTCCTGCCCGGGAATCGTGATTTTATTTTGGACTCGCCTTAATACTGTAAAAAAAGGTTCAGCATGGCATACATACATACATACATACATACATACATACATACATACATACATACATACATACATACATACATACATACATACATACATACATACATACATACATACATACATACATACATACATACATACATACATACATACATACATACATACATACATACATACATACATACATACATACATACATACATACATACATACATACATACATACATACATACATGTACAATCATGTATGAACATGTAGGAAAACAGCAACAGCAGGAAACAACTATGAAAAGTGAGTTACGAAGTCTGAAGAAAATGTTGAATTGTCTCTGCTGGGATGACGACTACACCATAGCTCAGTGGTTAGAGCATCGCTGGCTACAAGCGAGGGTCCCTGTTTCCAGTCCTGGTGGTGACAGTCAATTTTTTCTTCAGATTTTTCCGCTTTGTGTCTTTCCCTCCAACCAGTGAAAGTAGCATGTTGGGAACATATTTCCCTCTACTGACAGTGAACAACGCACATTAAAGAGAGTCGCAATACAATCAATGACACACTCGTGAGCTGACTTAGTGCCGGTGGAAAGAAAACTTGTTTCCTTCAAGACCAAGTCCTGAGCAAGGTGTCCAGCCATTTTATAACCATGGCAACCTGTGTACATGCTGCTATACGTCATACAAAATCAGGTCCAAGTGCCTGCATGGATGTACAGTTATTGAAGTTAACTAACACGGAACCAAAACAACATTAAACTATCAAATGTTAGCCACTGCAAAGTGTACATTGGTTGCCAGTGTTATCCTCCACTTTGGAGCTGAAAAGGGGAGGTGGATTCTGTGCCTGTGTCATACCTTAAAGGGGAAGTTAAGGCAAAAATTAAAATTTCACCAGTTGTAGTCTTCGGGGTGCTGAGTCGAATGGTCGTGGT